ATCATCCCTCAGATTTTGAGGAATTCTTCTTGGGGTGGCCTTGTTACCGCATCCATGCTAAAAGTGTTGAATTTGTTTTTTTTTAAAAATGTCATCTTCGATTTGAAGGTTAATTCTTAACATAAAGGTATAAATCATATAATCCACAGCATTATGTATTATAGGCATATTCTTCTCCTAAGAATAATTGCAAGTCAGTATCCTCATAATAAAATATTAGAAATCAAGAAATTAATGAGAATGTCATTTTACATGCGGTTTTGTGTTTGTGTATTTTTTTCTGGAATGATGAGGTGAGTAATCACTCATTGCTACTCTGATAAGGAATCCATTTTCCTTAATGAACACAGTTTTTTTTTCTTTGCTTAGAAAATGTACTTGGTGTCATTTCTTTTGAAGTGGGACTTGTTTGTTTGTTTTGATTGTTGGCTGAAATCCAATTGGTCCAGAAAAGAATTTCTCCTCATGACAGATGAAGTAGAGCATGTGTCTATTAGTGCTTGCTATAGCCTAAGGGACATGTGAAACCATGTTTCTCTATATAAAGATACAGCTCTCTACATACATCTCCATAGATCATGCCTGACTTTTAAATCATGAAGGAATACTTTTAGTAAGAAACAGGATTTTTGTATTAGAAGAATGAATGACTTTACAGATTTGGCTTCTTGAGTGTGTGTGTGTGTGTGTGTGTGTGTGTGTGTGTGTGTGTGTGTATTCTCTTCTATTTATCAAGTGCTCCAAAGGAACTAAGGACTTACATGGGTTGATTGCTTAGTTCTGTTTGTGTATCAAAAAAGAAAAAACAAAACCCAAACTGAAACCCACTGATATGTGTGCACTGCAGTGATTAGGAATCCAGGCACTGTAGGCTAGAGAACCTTTTAAACAAGATGAATCTGAACGAAATATTTTCTCTTAGATGTAGAAGCTTACGTGCAAGTTCAAAGCCTCCAGAAAGTCGTCTTGATGTTGCTCACCACACTTTGGCCAACAGAATACCCAGCTAAGGAATTACTGTATATGTGCCATTGGGAAGGGTATTCAGGTTGTCTTCACTTCATGCAGGTGAGCGCTAGCTCGCTTAACCTTTCCGTTAGGTTGGTCGTTTCTAACAGGAAGTTGCTATTCTCTGGTATTATTACCCTGATATCTTATAGGGAGAAGCTAGTCATATTGGTCAGCATTCAAAAATGAGTTACAGATTTTAGAACTCTTGTGCAGAGTGGCAGTGTACTGAGTGTGTCTGACTATTATCATACTGCACAGAACCAGTAATATCAGGGCTGTGCTTTCTCCTTACGAGCTGTTGGTGAGGCAAACCCCCTAAGACCTCCTACACAACACAGGCAGTTGATAATATTTTGATTGTACACCAAAACTAGATAGTAACACACTGTGGTTGAAAATACCACATGCTTAATCCTAGGACACAGGGAAGCCAAGCTGGTATTGGTGTGGAAGCTTTCTTGCAGCTGATCACCCTTCTCAGTGCTGGAAGGTGCCAAGTAGGTGGTTGATGGAGAAGTGTAGACCCCATGTACAGCAACGCCAATGGAACAGGCAAGGGAAGCCCACTGGTGCAACACTGGCAAAACAGTCATCATGGGAGCCAACCATTTTCTGTTTGGATCTGATGCCCATCAAATGTGAGACAATTACATATGGTTTGGTTTGGTACTACAGATCTGGTGAAAATTTCAATGTTGGGCCAGTCATAAACCCAAGAGGTAATGGCTTTACGCATGAGATATTTTATTCTATTTTAAATCACTTATCTCTATACAAATCCACCCAAAATTTCACACATTTATATTACCAGTGTATCGCTGTCAAATTTCATTTCTTCTGAAGCCCAAAGAGAGCCATTTACTCAAAAGTCATACTTCTAGGTCAGTGGTTGTCAGCCTTCCTAACACTGTGACCTTTTAATATAGTCCCTCATATTGCGGTGACCCTCAAATATAAACTTATTTCATTGATACCTCATAACTGTAATTTTGCTAATGTTGTGACTTGTAAAATAAATATCTGAGATGTAGGATATCTGACATGTTACCCCTTTGAAAGTGTCATTTGACCCCAGAAGGGTCATGCCCCACATGCTGAGAACCACTGTTTTAGGTGGTAAATGATCAAGCTCGATCCCAGGTTTATTGAAATATGTACTTTCCCCACTGTGCAGCACAGAACAGGATGTGGCTCCTATCTATCTGTTCTCCTATGACCTTTCCCCTGATCCCTTATAATTTTCTGTCAATGGGAATAAGACAATGACTTTGTCCAAACAATCCCCTCTTTCTGAAGACTGTAGTTTACCCAAGTCACCAATGAAGGATTCGTTCCTACATTATTTTCTATTAGATTCCAATTTTAGCGCTAGTCACTCACATTTGTTGTAGCAGAAGGTGAATAGAGAGAATGCTAGCATCTCTTTAATCTGCTGTTGTATCCCTTTAATGTCTTTAGAACATCTACCTGTAGTTGTTGTGTATCATAATTGATTCAAGTCCCCCAAAGCAGGCACTTTCATATTAGCTGCATGTTAGGAAGAGGCAATGAAATCATTGTAAGAGCCATATCTCATTAGGGACTCATATATTTCTCAAGGCAAGCCTCACTGGATGCTTAGTGCTGTATTTGTTTATCATTCTATGAAGTCAATGAAAAAAAAAACAACCTCACCACTCACGTAAAAGACTATAGAACCCTCTGGAGTCAGGAGGGTTGTAATCTATTACTTTCTCATGGTGAGCACCAAGGTGGTGCTCGGGAAAATTGTGCTGACTGGCTGTGATATTTACATACATGCTTCTCTGTGCTGTAATTGAGCCTCTTAAACACAGAACCATTTCCTAGCACAGTGAATGGTGAGAGGCCGCTGTGCAGGTCACCAGCTGCTACAGAGAAACTTTGTCTGCAGGAACATGCAGGTGGCCCCATTGGGAACTTCTAGCTCACATGAAGGGCAATATCGGTGTGTGGATGTGTTTAGCTGAGACCAGACATGTGCAGAGGATATTTCCTTCTCCTTCATTATCAGCAATAAGCTCTTCCAGCCTTTGCAATTTAGTCAGTGGTAAGAATAAGAACGGGATTCTACATCTCTACTCTCTACCATCAAATCGTAAGCACCAGAGCGGATCAACGCCAGGGAATGTAACATAAACTAATTCTTGCACTGTTTGCACAGATTTGAATCTATTGTCATCTGGAAGGCTTTTCTACGGGACTATGAGGACTTCCAAAAGCTTCTTCCAACCAAGAGATTGGAAATACAAACCAACAATGGGTAGACCATGTAGAGCACTAGAACCCTGACCCTCAAATTACAGCTATCCCAGAATGCTCTACTGTGATCTACAGCATCTGGCTGTTCAGTCAGACTTGTAGAAGAAAACATCATTACCTCTTGTAATAACCTGGGGCACTGAACAGTAACAGGAAGAAACCACAGGAAATGATCAGGACTTGGCCAACAAATCATAGCATCGTGAATAAGAGGAAAGTCAAATCTATGCTCCTACTTGACCACACAGGATATAGATGATCTGGTTAACTATCCTGAAACTCCACTGCACCCTGTGCTCATATATAAGAGAAACTTCTTTATACTGCACTAAAGTGTTCATCTTCTTTGGATTTCTACCTGAATGCAAGAGATGGTGGCCAATGTTCTTGCTATAACAAGTTTTGAGCCAGTAGGTGTGACGTGGTTGATGGTTGTTGCTATCGACTGGATAGAGTCTAGAATGGTCGAGGACACACACTTCTAGGCATATTTGTGAGGGGTTATCTAGACAGAGGTTAAACTGAGGGTGTCTATGGGTATTATCTTTATTAACTTGGGTGGGAAAAGACAGTCACCGCCTAGGATCGTGGGTTTTGTGAATGGAGAAAAGAGCAGGGTCACAGCATACATTCATCACTCTCTGTTCTTGATTGTGGTTGTGATACAATGAGCTGCGGCAAGCTCCTCCCTCCTTGACTTCCTCACCATGGTAGACTTTTTGTTTTACCTGTGAACTAGAATAAACCCTTTCTTCTTGAAGTTGTTTTGTTAGGATCTTTAATCACAGGGACAGAAAAGGAACAAAGACAACGTGTCTTATTTTTATTCACCTCAATGATTTCTCCCTTATAATGTAGTACAGAAGTACGCATGTGGACTGGAGAAACATGATGAATTGTATTTAAATGCATGTGTCAACTCTTAAGTATCTCTGGGTGAGTTACCTGACCATCTGTTTCTTAGTTTCCTCATTTGTAAAATGGGGATGGTGCTGCTTGGCCACATAAAGTAGATGAGAAAAATCGAAGACTTGATACACATTGGTGACAGCCAATACTGTTAGTTTGGTTACAGTAAACTTAATTATCCCTTTACCTCTTCCTTTGGCCTGCATCATGTCAATAAACTAAAGATGCAACTCTGTGTGAAGTACTGCTTGAAACTATTGGTACTTATTCACAAATTAATTTTTAGTATACACTGAAGATTTCTTTGTCTGGATTCAGCAGAGATTCAACACTGGCAAGGTTTTAGACTCTTTACGTGAAGCTCTTACCTGGGTGACCTGTTGGGTCAGGATGTCAAGAGGCAGCAGGGGAAAGGTCAGATGCAGGATAAACTCTGAAGGATCTGTCATAGTTTAGAGGCTGTCTGTTCCTTCACATTTGCTGCACAGTGTGGACAACACCCCAAATCCGCCAGCCTCAGGAGTCCCTGTTGACCCAGACCTGGGGCCTCCTATGTTTTCCTTAGTGGTGGTTGGAGAGAGACCTCCTTCCCTGGGAGATACAGCATTTCCATACTCTTTTTAGTTTTGATTTTAAGTGGTGATATATCACTTCTACCCTTCCATAATTTGGATAGATTTTCCCTTCCTGTTGTTCTATTACTTTCCGCTTAGCCGGAAGTCACTGTGTGGGGAGCAAGGTCTTCTACACTTAGAAATTTAAAAAGCCCCTCTGTCCTCTGAAACAAAAAGAAAGGAAACCTAGCTTAGATGTTTTGCTGCAAAATAAGCCAGCTGTGCGATTGCTCTTGGTGACTATTGTCAACAGGCCCCCATGGCAAAAGTTCCTGAGTGTCGCAGGCAGGGTCTTCCTTTTGGAGCTGGTAGCCCTAGACTGTAAGCAAGAGATAAGGATAATTTGAGAGCTAAATGCCAGCAGCATGCTGTCCTTTGTCTCACACTAGATTGCAGTGGGTCCTCAGGCTTTTGGTTCTGGGGGGAGATATGTTATGCTGTGTGTGCTGACGTGCATTCTTCCAGGCCTCGAGATGAAACAACTTGGACAGCGACAGAGAATTAAAACTTCACCTTGAAGCCCCTCTCCACTCAACCGAGCAACACTGCCTCCAGCAAAAGAAGTCGCAACGGTTTAAACACCAGCTCCAAGTCCAGACAGTGGTAAGAGGAATTACTAACTGCCTCACTAGTTTTTGGAAAGAAGTGTTGGAGTGTGTGTGTGTGTGTGTGTGTGTGTGTGTGTGTGTGTGTTAGAGCCAGATATGTTCAACATCCCTTCATCTCCATTGAACTAATTAATTTTGCCCCCAAATTTGCTAGAATAAAATGATACCTGGCAGACTTCCCTGAATACCCAAAGGAAAAGAAATAACAATCTAGACGCAATTCCCTTATTTAGCTGGGCTTATTTTCTTACATTCTGCTTCAAGTAGCAAAGTCATTTGCTCTGGAAACTGTAACTGAACGTGAGTATTTGCTGAGCTATTTCGAATGTGTTCCATTATGTCTCAGCCTTTTCCAATGATGAACTGTGCACACAGCTCTAATGCCTGGTGGTACAATTTCTAACCAGGAGGCATTCTCAACACAAGCTGAATAAAAAAGCAATGGCCACACCGCTTAGGACTAAAAAATAGAATAATAACAATAATATTTAAGGGCTGGAGTTATGGAATTTTCTGTGTCACTCGAGCAGCCAAGCTTTGAGAGCGTTCTTCCAACCTTTCTTTTGCCGCCTTTGGTGAGGTCGTGAAAAATCTGCCCCAACTCCCTCTGCTGTCACCGTGATGAGCTGAAATCTTAATGGTGGATAAGGTCACAGGTAGTGCAGAGGGAGGGTGCTGGATCTTTGTAAGCCATTGAGATTTTTCTCTAAGGTCAGTTCAGCAAAGTTCCAACCAACCTTCATAAACCCAGTGCAAAAAACAGATGTGGAGCTGTAGGTTTCTCTGCTGAAGGACTTATCCATTAGTCATTCCTCTGTTTTCTGGCGATTCATCCCTTTTTCTTTTTCCCGCTGTATAGCTAAGGGTAACAGCAGCTTCTTTCTGCCTAATAAGGATTGTGTCTGGGAGGGTGCTTGTTTCTCCCTCCTTGAAATCTCTCCTCGTACCTGATGGTCCTTGTGGCATCAGAACCCTGTACCACTTGGATTACATGCATAACCCACTTCAAAATCAGCCTCTAAGTGCTACGAACTCCAAAGCCTTCTGTTCAAAAGGCCCCGTACCTACTTATCAAACCTGCCAAGGCTTTTCATTGGGCCAGTAAAGAATGCATAGTGTTTATAGTCATAGCCATAAATGATGGTAAAGTTAGGATGCTTCTACGGGTGCTAACTAGAGGAGCATGTGCAGGTTGGGTTGGCAGGGCTCACACAGGTGAGCACAACTCATCTAGAAGGCAAAGCTGGACCAATGGCAGAAGGACAAGAAAGGCTGGTGTTGCCCATGCCACAGGTATCTAGAAATCTCAAGGAGTCCCAGTATTAAATGCAAAGCCACTTGGGTCACTGTAAAATGATATTTGTTAAGGTAAATCAATGGAATGTATTTTATTTCATACTTTCATCAATTTAGAGTTGTTTACTTGCACTCTTGCACAAAGTCCTATGAGGTCAGTGACAGGAATGACGATTTTCCCATAGTTCTACCTCTGGGGCTCTTCACAATATTGTCTTAGTTGTCCATAATTAATTAATTAATCTTAGCTTTCTTGACTAACTACAGAGCCATTTAGTGTGGCTTCATAGTTCATGGCTCCAGAACAGTAGAACTGATTTTCATGCCTTCGACCATTCCCCTGTCTGGTTCTCCATGCTATAGGGAGTCTGACCACAAGTCTGGAAGAAGAAGGGAACCCCCAACCCAAATTCACTTCCTGTGTCACCACAGCATCACCCTTTCCCTTTGGCAGTTGCTTTTGTTCCAGTTGTAGAAGCAACAACTGAATTCAGTTTGTTTGGCCTGTTTGTTGCTTTTCAAAGCCCAGAGAACTAGTCTCGGAATGTCCCCTTGAAAGCCCCTCCTCAGAGATCTTCCCTCGGGCTGCCTTCTCTCATCTTGGATATTTTAATTATTTCAGTTATTGCCCATATATTTTTTTTCTAGCACAACTAGCTTCATGCAACTCATCTATCTTCTGGGCTCATTTAATATTCTCATTTTACATTTTTAGTTACCCAGGAAATGTTTCTTTATATCAAATTCTCTATTGAGGTTGGTGAAAAGGCTCAGTCACCGGAACCTGACTCATGGTTATGAGTACCTGAGTGAGAAACCCAACATCCATGGAAGATCTGGGCACAGTGATATATACTTCATAACAATAGAATACTGACTAAAAAAAATGCCTCTAATCTTGCAATTGAAGCAGTGGGATTCCATATGTGTGCTCCCACACCTAGAGGTTGTGAGGGGTGAGAGTTCAAATCCTATTCCTGATGCTTCTACCACCCACAGTTTGCCCGCTGAGCCATCATCACCCCTGCCCCACATGTTACTCTTTTAATACTTATTTCCCATACTCCTATACCTGTCAATAGTGCCCTACAGTGCAATAGCTATGTGGTTCTGTGTATGTTATAACATGTCTTCCTCAATGCTGTGAATGTACATGACTTATATCAACTATTGAGTTATCCATCTAGTGTTGGGTGTTGTGTTTTGGTCATAGAGATTCACTGGTATGTCCCTATACAACGGGGGAAAAAGATAATAAAAAATACCAGGTGAAACAGGATCACTACAACCACATACTAGTTTTATTCCTCTTTCTCTTGAAAACTCATCTTTCCTCCCTCTCTTCAACTAGATTCCCAGAATATGTGAGCAAGGGAGGTCAAGATCATGGTGGGGAAATTTACAGAGACAGCTGAGCCATGTTTGTAGGAACTTATAGACCAACAGCTATGGGGACTCCATGGGATGGAACCAGATCTGCTGCATGTGGGAGGCAGTTGTGTAACTTGATCTATTAGAGGGTCCCCTGGCAATAGGACCCTTATGCATGAGCTAGCTTGCTGGAGCCCATTCCTTATGGTGGGATGCCAAGCTCTGTCTTAATACAGAGGGGAGGGGCCCGGTCCTATCTCAACTTAATGGGCCAGGCTTTGTTGACTCCCCATGGGAGGACTTACCTTTTTGGAGGAGTGGATGGAGGTGGGCTGGATGTAAGGCAAGGGGAGGCAGAAGGAGAGGTGTATATATATATATATATATATATATATATATATATATATATGTGTGTGTGTGTGTGTGTGTGTGTGTGTGTGTGTGTGTGTGTAAGTGTGTGTGTGTGTGTTTATGTGTGTGTATATATATATATATATATATTCTGTGGGGCATTAAACTAATTAATCCACAGAATTAGCATATATAAACACATGTTTATTTTAAAATTATCTTCCTTTAAAGATTCCTAAAGGTCCACTCAACTATTAAGTGCTTTACTTTATATTTGGTGTGACTAGGGATAAAATAAGTTTTCCTATCTTTTTTGTTGTGGGGGAAGACGATTCTTTGGAACCATAATGATGTACTGGAATAACCTCTAGTTCAAAGTCATAAAGCTAACCATTTCCTAAAAATGAATCGTCTGCTCCAAAAGAGATTGTGACATGGTGTCTAGAAAAGAGGAGACACACAGAACTACAGATGAGGAAAGAAAAATTGTGTTAGAACACAAGGTCCATATCTTCAGTTTATCAAGACATAAAATTTATCTCCATCTCCTCTGACTTGAAAAGTTTTGTTTTCCAAGGTTAATCTACACTGTGTCTCTTGCCTCATTTCCTTTCAGGTTGATGGGAAACTTAATCAGTTTCTTCTTCTCTTTATGGTATAACCCCATCAACAAAACAAACTTGTGAGGGTTCAGTAAAGAAACCACTAAGGTGGCTGCTCCACGATGAGGGGAAAAGTTTTTATTGTGGATAAGAAAGAGAGAACATACAAAGGCATGTATAAAAGTCCAGAGCAGAGAGAGAAAAGGAAGTAGACTGGATATGACCATGATTAGAAAAGTGGAAATGGCAGAGAATAACAAGAAAGAGTAGAGAGAGTAGCAGCAGGGCTAGAGAGAAAATCTCGCCATTATATATAGAAAGAACAGGTATCTGGGAGGAGGGAAGCCTGTATACTACAACAGCCTGGAAGCTAACAAAGTATAGCATAGTTGGGGAGGAGCTGAGGAGTGGTGGAGGAGGAGCTGGGGAGGAGTCAGGGAGGATCTAGGGAGGTGAGAAAGACCAGGATGTTAGTGTGGACTGCAAAATGAATAGTGGGTACCTGTGAATAGAGACTGTAGGAGCCTGGAGGCTAGCATGGACTCTGATATGCTGATAGGTGCCACAGATATATGCCAATAGAGAGACACATGTCCCTTCTGCCAGAGGCAAGGGAAATGACTCTTCTTAGCAGGCAGGAACCTGCTTCACAAGGTCCTGAGAAGTGTTCGCTTTTTATCTAACTGCCAGAAATCCTTCTATAGTCCAGCATGAGCTGAGTTTAGACTCAATTTTGGAGCACTTCAGTGGGCCTGCCCTTTGTGGGAGGGGGATGGGGTACCCTTGGGACCCGACAGCACTCCATCTTCCACCTTTGAAAGACGTTCTGAGTTGTCCCAAATTATTGTACTCTTTTACCTTCAACTTCCTGAAAGTGTTTCTGCAGTTACTGCTTGATTTTGTCCTCCCTCCATTTGCCCCTAACCTTTTCACAATTGGCCTTTATGGCTGCTATTCCTCTAAGTGTTTCCTACATGTCCAAAGCAATTTTTTTCTTGTCTTGATCTTTTTTTTTTGACCATTACACAGAATTTACTTCTACTCAAAATTCTTTGGAGCATGAAGCATCTTGATATTGTAATTTAGACTTGATTTGCTCACTTTCTCTTGTTGTCTGCTAACTAATCTTTAAGCATTATGAACAGTACTATGTTTTATTTTCTCATTCCTGATCTCTATGGTGATATTATTTTTTTAGAAATTTAAAGGTTTTTTAATAAATTTTAACTTTTTTTATAAATTTATGCTTAAATTTATAAATCTATCTTTAGTGTCTAAGAGCTTTTTGGTGTGCCCCAGCTCCCTTCTGGACTCTAACTCTTTTTATTTCCCCAGGGTAGTCAGCAGCATCTCAAATTGAACACAGCTTGAGTAGCACCTAACTTTTTCTGTGACCTCAAAGACATGTGCCATCATGTCTGGTCTTCTTTCTCTCTCACCTTGCCTCTTTTCTCTGCACATGAGTGGTGAAGCTATTGGCCCAAGGCCATGGAGACAGTCAACTGTGGAGTCAAGGTTCAAATCAGTGCTTGTCTGTCTCCATCATACTGAGATTTATCTTCTCTGGCTCACTCTGACACACAGAGGTAAACAAGGCCTACCTTAAGCTTCTGAAGAACCTGTAATAATGTTAGCAGGAAATATTATATAACGTTAATGATCTATGATAGGTCCTTAAAAACTGTTATTGTTTCTTCCTGTCTGCCCATAAGGATTTCTGTGCTGGTTAATTTTGTGTCAGCTTTATACAAGCTAAAGTCATCTGAAAGTGTGTCTCTATTGTTGTTTCTGCGGAATACGAAAGAAACCACGAAGTACAAACAGACCCACATGTAACTTTATTACAGGGAAGGGGCATGGGGACCGTAGAGGCGGGAAACAGGAAGGGGAAAAGAGGAAGTGGGTACTGCGGCTCTGCCTTTTAAAGACCAGCCCAGCATACACGCATCAGACGCTGTGTTCTGCATCTGTGTTGGATTGTGAGTACATGTGTTTTTGGGAAATGAAGTCTTTCGAGTCAGGCGGGCCACGCTTCACTCTGCGCCTGCGCAAAGGGGCCTCTTGGGAAATGCAGTTCCTCAGGAGAATAACAGCCTCCATAAGGCTGGCCTGTAGAAAATACATAAGGTGCATCTTCTTGATAATGTGGGAGGGCCCATTTCATTGTGGCAGGTGCTACCCCTCAGCAGGTGGTCCCTGATGGCTTAGGAAAGCAAGTTGAGTAAGCCACCAGGAGCAAGCCAGTAAGCCCCACCCCTTCAGGGTGCCTGCTTCAGTTCCTGACTCCAGGTTCTTAACCTGACTTTCATGGGTGAGAGACTATACATTGTAATATAAAACAAATCCTTTCCTCCCCAAGTTGCTTTTGGTCAAAGAATTTTATCACAGCAACAGAAGCCTAAGACAATCACTATGATTAAATCACCATGATTAAAAGAAAATTCCATTCTGGATTTTGAAAATTCCTATGCTTAGAATATTAGACAGGAGGCTTTTCCCTATGTTCCTTAAAGTATCCCTTATTAACAGACAAAGTAAACTGTCTGATCAACATTTATAGGTAAAATAATAAATGACAGTCTAAAATCAAAACACATCTCTGTATTTAATCCCATACAGTAAATCCTGCTATCCATGTTTAAATGTGCTCTCTCTAATTAATTTCAGGTGTTTAAAGCTATATTATGGTAAGTTGTCATGGTTTCAAACAAGTGAGGATAATTTAGCCATCTGCACCATTTTTTTCCTTCTCTTACGAATCCAGCATTCTGAAATAAGATGGATTTAAATGTGCAGAGACAGCATTCAGAGTTAGAACAAAGGCAGAAACGCAACACTCATGGAAATTCCCGCCAGCATCTCTTTCCTGCTGATTCTTGGAGGGTGTTTTCTTAAGGATATTTATCCTTTATCTGTAATGATCACCACCTATCTTTAATCTTTTACCTCTTATCATTTTAGTATCTAATTTCTCAATGATGCACCCTCATGGCTTAGGAGTCTCCAAGACCTTTACTGAGTTTGCTCTGAAACACAAAGATATGGCTGCTTAAACTAGAGACAAAATCACAGTCAGGGATCAACATTTAGCATGTGCTATCTATGAATGAGCTCAGACTTGGCCTTATCCTAGTCGCTATTAAGGCTACAGTAACAGGGTGATGTGACAGATACTTGTCACCCCAGATCTCAAGAATTTGAGAAAAAAGGATTGTTAGCTCTAGGCTAGTCTGGTCTGAAAAATAAGTAAACAAGCAAACAAACAAAAATACAAACAAAAAAAAAACTCCACTAAGCTTCAGCAAGGTTGGTGATGTCATATACAAAAGTCATGTATATACACAGATAACATTGTTGCTGTAGAGTGAGACCTCTTTTCTTAACTCTGGCTGCCATTTTAACTAGAACTCCCACTGTACAAGAGGAAAGTGCTGTTTTCAGAACAGCTTATTGAGAGAACTCTATGTTTCCCCAGGATGTACTTGAAAAAAGATTAACAAGTTTCCACATAAACGCCAAGTCAATCTGTTCCCCCGTCAATCACTAGCCCATGAACAAGCATCCCTATCTCTGTCGATAAGTTATCAAACAGCTGTGTAGCTTAAATGTTAATTAAATCATCAGAACGGATGATGACCACAGACTTTCAAAATCTGTGGTGAAGGAATTTTAGAGTATCACCAAGGAGATGCAACTGAACAGACTCTGTTCAGTTGAGCATATCTCAGACAATGGCATGGGATGGGCAAGAAGTTACCTATCTTGAAGAATATGAGTATCTCACACAGTGCTGGCCATCAGGCAACTTCAGAATATTCACAATTTAAAATGGGTGTTTCCTCATTCAGTACGTTGATTTCAGGATTTCCAATGCCCTGTCAGCTTCCCTCCTTTCTCATCATATAAATACTAAGACTAACACAAATGTGGTACCAAAGGAGAGGATGGAGCACCGCAATATGCTGGACGCCTTCTGACTAGTCTTGCTGACCACTGGTCCATGACTGGACCTGGAGGCTAGCACTGTCTTCCATCATGGTCAGACTAAGATGAAGCATGACCACAAGTGAATGCCAATCCAAAGACATTCTCTTTAGAGATGTGGTTAGCTTTTTTTTGGTAGACTGATGTTGGATTGAGTATTTGTTTTTCACTTGCTGATACTGTAAGGCTAAATGCACCCCGAGGCACAACTCTGATTTTCTATGCTAATATCCGCAGACAGCTACCACTTGACCATCATCTTAATTCGCCATTTTGCATTATAAATATCATGAGCAGTCATAAGCTTGCAGGTGTAGGTCCACCCTCTGGTTTACTCCCATGCAACTGGAAGACATGACATTGACAAAGAGCATTCTACCATTTTATTTAGCATCTGGAATAAAAGAACAGTGAGAAGTAAACCCTAGAATTTAATAGAATTGATGAATAGCACGTCTTATTGACTGCTTTGAAAACCTTTCCTCTTGCACTCTGCCTGACAATCTCAACATCCTTTGGGTCCAAACACTTTGTCACCAGCCAGGTAGCGACTTGTGATAGTTGCATAGCAATTGAGGATGATCCTGTCCCCCAACCATCACTATTGGTGCTTTCAGTCTGTAGCCTGATGCCATCAAGTGCTGTAAAGCAAAGACCTGTATTTTGAGATCTGAATTTGTTTACAGCCATCTTAAGTTCACAAGTAAGATAATCACCTTTGCATGCAACTTCCGGACCTAGGACATTAGCCTGGTGAGACCTGCAGGCACCAGACTTTTAGAAAACATTAGCATTTTCTTTTGTTAGCTAGGGATATCTCCAGGCCTGAATTCCAACAGACCTGACACATCTCCCCTCCCCCTTGCCCATTTGCTATATAACAGCTTCTGAGGTTATAATTGGTGGTTTGATCAGAAATACCGTCTTGCCGTCATTTCTCATATCTCTTGCTCTTCCACTCCTCTTCCCTAGGTCTATCAGGGACCACCATTCATATTTCACTGGCGAAGATAATCAAGATACTCAAAGAGTCATCCTAAAGCCAGGAAGATGGCTCAGTGGGCAAAGGTACTGACTACCAACCTGATTATCCTAAGGTTCCATATGGTAGAACGGTGGTTCTCAACCATAACCAAACATGACCCTTTTGTGGGTTGCATATCAGATATCCTGCATATCAGAACTTTACAATTCATTAACAGTAGCAAAACTACAGTTATGAAGTAGCAACAAAACAGTTTTGTGGTAGTGGGGTCTCTACAACCTAAGGAACTCTATTAAAGGACTGAAACATTAAGAACATTGAGAGCCATTGTGGTAGAAGGAAAACATTGAATTGTACATTGTGGCCTCGTGTGTGGGGGTGGGGGGGAGAGAGAGAGAAAGAGAGAGAGAGAGAGAGAGAGAGAGAGAGAGAGAGAGAGAGAGACTTTGCTATAGTTGGTAAGTAGGGAAAGCTGTAACAATCCCTCTTACATCCCACCTGGGCTCTGGAAACTTCTTGAGAATTACTAGGTAAGACCCAGTTAGGAAACACTGGCAGCACTCTGTAACCTGTAAAGGAGTGATGCAGATACTGGGGTGGAGCGTTTTGTCATTGTTGAGACACAGAAAAAAGATACTACAAAGGAAGACACATTGGCCTGCCAAATACTTTGAATTAAAGCACATTGGAAGGTGTCAGAGAGGGCCCCAGAACCAAGGTCTTCCTGAGTTTCTCTGCCCTCCTCTTCCCATCCTTTATTCTCTTCTAAAATGGTCATAGAAACCAGAAAGACCTTTTTCCCAAGGTAAGTCATAGAAAACAAAACACATTTTACCAAAAGCAAGGTATAAGGCATAAAAATACTACTGTGTCTGTGTTGGAGCTGGCCCTGTAGCACTTTTGTGACCTCCTTTGTCTGATAGTAGATCAGAAGACCTTCATCACAAAATGGATTCTGCAGGGTACTTAGGAGGAAGGAACATACCCAGACAGGCCCAAAATAACCTGAATAGACAGGCCTTGTTGAGCGGTTCTCCTTTAGTCTATGGCCGTTCGCACATACTATTTTGGTCTTATTGGATTTTTACATGGCTGCCCATTGTGCTTTATCCAATCTACACATGACCAGTTTCTTCTGGGTCTGTGAGTCTTCCTTCTGAAGACTTCTTTGTCACTTAACACTTTTATGAAATCAAGTTGTCATGGTGGGTGTTATTAACCTGCCTTTGTTATAGGAAGGTCAGTCATGGCCCTTGTGAGATTCTGCTTCCATCTTACCCTTATGCTGAGATGTCTTAGCATTTTCATGGAGACAGAGGTGATCTCAGCAATTAAAATTATCCACTATGGATCAAATATGAAAGTTGCCAGGAGCTCTAGGTAATAAAATGAGAGCTCTTCAAAGCACAGATCACAGCTAGCTTCCTAATCTTCAAGATCATTGTATAGAAGAGAACATATAAGCACTTACTGTTTTATGAACAATCACTGATGCAGTGAGAACCGCACAATCTCCATCCATTAGAAAGAATATACTTGCCCTCTGTACAGACACTGCTGACTATATGTAGGCAACGTCAGTCATATATCATTCATCTGTAGTGTTAGACTCTGCCCAAAATGACATGGAGCAAAATTGCCATAGTGCTAAATAGCATTGCTATTAATGAGCATATACATTTAAATCAGAGACCCGGAAGTGCTATTGTGTGTCTAGCTTACTTTTGTCCTACTCAGGCTGATAAGACATTCTTCAAACAATTGTAATTATGAGTAATTTCTAAATAATAATAATAATAATAATAATAATAATAATAGCTACTTTTTGTTGGATGCAATAAAAATCAAGTTTTCATTCAATTACTACTCTCTAATGCATTATGATAGCCATTCCTGGGTATTTGGTAGTTCCAAAATAACACTAACAATAATAATAAAAAGATTTTGAGAACAAACATTTGTTTTCAAAAGTTAAAAATAAATATTCCTTTCTTTAGGTCTCTTTTAAGCCAGTGACTTGCAGATGGATGATTTGCTTTCTTGGTTCACTTGTTAGGTAATACATGCTAATAAGCAGATAAGGCTGTGTGTGTGACTGCCATCCTCAGAAGGGATGGGGAAGGAGCACAAATGGGGCCTGCAGACAGGCATGCTGTGGAATTTCTCGCGCTTAGTCTCCTGCTAATTGGGAGAGGATAAATTAACATATTCATATCTTAGGTTCAAATATCAGTTCCCCAAGCTTGAGACTGAATTCTTGTTGTGTGCGTAGCATTTGTCGCACAGGATGCCGTCTGTGGGAGCGTTCACTGTCAGTGTCAGCCAGCTCACACAACACTGGGAGGCATCAGAGCAGCGGCGGCTGCACAGGGCCACCTCCCTAAGCCAATACTCTGCCTTCTTATGGTCTCCAGGTAGCCTGTGCCTTTGAAGCTTTAGGTCTTCTGGGATCTTATCTTCTTCTCCCAGAAAGCTTAGAGAATTCACCTCTTCCATGTTGGGCACATTCACTTTGGTATCATAAAGAATCATAAGATAAGTGAGGATAGATTTCAAATTGTGGAAGTTTAGTTATCTGGTGTGCTAATTTGATAAAACCCATTTTTTCAAGGAGCTAGACATCTGAAGGACTGGTCTTTCTGACCACCCAGTAAATAGAAAACATCTTCTTACTACCTATATGGTAGTAAGTAGCTATATGGTCTTGGTAAGTTGTTTCTCTGGAGAAAGAAGGAAATAACAGCACAAGACAGCTCTTTCAATATTAAAGGGGGAACTCTGAATAAATGTTGGCTTCCTCAAGGTGGGAACTCTTGGGTGAAGGATATAGAGGTAAGTTGTTAGCTACTGAGGGCAGTTTCTAGGGATCCCCGCATGCAAGCTTAACCTAGCTCATAGATCCACTAGCTACAGAGTCAGAGGTCAAAGGAAGTGATGAAAAGGGAGCCCTTATGTTTTGTTGGTAGGAATATGAACTAGAACAACCATGATGGATATAGTATAAGAATTTCTTTTAAAAATTAAACACAAATCTCACCACTGGTTTATACACAAAGGAAATGAGAATGTTGAAGAGGCATCCATGTGCTGGGTTCATGGCAACTTTGTACATAACAGCCACGATACGGACACAGTCCATTAACAAGATGGGGAATAGGTACATACAGTGAGGTATTGTTTGGTTACAGAAAAGAAAGAAATCCTGTCATTTGTCTCAAAACAGAAGGATGATATGTTAAGTAAAATAAGTGAGGATCAGAAAAAAATCCTCATTATCTTATCCACCTGTGCAATTTTAAAATATTTTACTCATAAAAGAGAGCAAGATGAGGGTGATTGGACCTTGGAGGTGGGCCACCGAGGAGATGACGGGCACAGGTGGAAAGCTGTATTAGATAGGAGGAGCGCATTCTGGTAGAACACGAGGGGGCAGTGAGGGATGTACAGTAGAATTGGCAAGTATTAAAAGTAGATCTTCTATGCTCATGCTTCACAAAGCCATGATATGTGAGGTAATAATTACATTGCTTTGATTGTTTCAATCGGCATAGTATGTAAATACGTATCTAGAAGTCATGTAATCCTCTATAAATAAATTAAAATTAGAAAAGGAAGTAACTCATCTACTACAGAGAGCTTCCTGCCTCAGGACTAGAACACTGGCGTTTCCAGGCACAAAATCACAAACCCTTACACTGCATCACCATTCAGGCTCCATGTGAGACTTTTCTGGGCCTCTTGGCTCTAAATAAATCATGTGTAGAGCCCCTCTCCCAGAAATTTACAGCCTGCATATAAAACAATGCCTCTTAGGTTTAAAAAATATCCCGCACAGATAGTGAGTGATGTGTCTCTGTGACATTAGAATGCTTCTATGATGGCAGACCGACTATGTTCAAAATCCCTAAACAAAGACAAAATACACTTACCTGTTTTTGAAGTATTAGTGAGAGAAAATTCTTTCTAAAGATAATCCTTAAATTATCTCTGGAAGTTTATTCAAAGGGCATAGTAAAGAATATGCTGAGATAATTGCTTCATGATACAGTTAGGATTATTATGTACATATGAGGGAGGGAGGGAGGGAGAGAGAGAGGCTGAGAGAGAAAGAGAGAGAGAGAGAATAAGAGAGTAAGAGGTAAGAGAAAAGATTACATATATATGTACATAACTATATATTATGCACATATTTAAGGTTATATAAATATTCATATATGAGAGAAAGAAACAAAGAGAGAGAGAAAGAGAGAGAGAGAGAGAGAGAGAAAGAGAGAGAGAGAGAGAGAAATAAACTAGTGTAAATAGCCTGAGCAGTGAATAAAACCTTGCCATTATAAAGAGAACAAATCTGGGAGAAGGGAAGCCTGGGGTTGTACAGGTCAACACGCTACCTTTGAGATGTGTAACAAGCACTTGTGAGTAGGGACTGAGGGAGCCTAGAAATCAGCACTGGCTTTGATGTTATGTCAGTGCAGTCCCATGTCACACCTGCCAGAGGTAAGGGAAACAATTCCTTTGGCAAAAGGTAAATAGTTTCACAAGTTTCTGAGGAATGCTGGCTTTTAAGTTAACTTCTTGAAATCCTCCTATAGCCCAGGTTCACCTCATTTTTGTATATTTGGACACACACACACACACACACATATGTATATGTATATGTATATAGAAAGAGAGATAGAGAGAGATTCGTTACATAAGTTATATCACTGTAGAGAACCCTGACAAAGATACCTCTGAAGAATTTTATTTTATTTTTTTAAAGATTTATTTATTTATTATGCATACAATATTCTGCCTCCATGTATGCTCACACACCAGAAGAGAGTACTAGATGGTTGTGAACTACCATGTGGTTGCTGGGAATTGAACTCCGGACCTCTGAAAGAGCAGTCAGTGTTCTTAACCACTAAGTCATCTCTCCAGCCCTGAAGAATTTTATTTTGAAACTAGATCTGCCTTTAAGATAGAGCCCTCATGACTGTACATCAATGGAACAAATTAATAAAAGTTATTAACAACTCTAAGCAGTTGTATAGATTTTATATTTTACAATTAACAACGGAAAAGATAAATCCAATCTTGT